TACTGGATAAAACCAAAAACGAAAACCCCAAGGGGCAAATCTAAATTTCCACAATCCCATAGGTTTTAAATTAAAAGCTATGTCAAACTCCCCTTTTTGAGGACTATTACGACAACAAGTTTTAAAAATTGCAAAAAATTTTCTAAGTTGAAAGGCCAATCAATCTAAAAATTAACTAAATAAATTCAGACGAAAAAAATCTGATGCAACAACTGCAACATTTCTGATCAACATTCCTTAAGTTTCATACTCTAGGTCAAATACTTTTTTTGAAGTAACATGCGACCAAGTTGAAAAAATTGCAAAAAATTTTACTAAAGTCAAGGGGCAATTAACTCTGAAAAATACTAAAAATATCCAGACGAAAATACCCAGGTGCACAACAAACACATTGCTGATCAACATTCCTGAAATTTAATATAACATCTAGGTCAAATACTTTTTGATACATGCGACAAAGTTGAAAATTGGCAAAAATTTTATTCAAGGGAATAACTCATAAATATTGAAAATATCCAGACGACAAATACCCAGGTGCACAACTACACATGCTGGATCAAACATTTTCTGTAAAGTTTCCATGACTCCAGGTCAAAATACTTTTTTAAGTAACATCGACACAAGTTGAAATTGCAAAATTTTTACTAAGGGTCAAGGGCATAACTCTGAAAATTACTAAAAATATCCCGAAAAATACCCAGGTGCAAAACCAACACATGCTATCAACATTCCTGTAAGTTTCATGACTCTAGGTCAAATACTTTTTGAGTTACATGCGACACAAGTTAAAATTGCAGAAAAATTTTACTAAGTCAAGGGCAATAACTCTGAAAATACTAAAAATTCCAGAAAAAAAATCCCAGGTTGCACAACTACTACACATGCTGATCAACATTCTGTAAAGTTTCATGAGTCTAGGTCAAATACTTTTTGAGTTACTGCGGACACAAGTTGAAAATTGCAAAATTTTTCTAAGTGAAAGGCAAAATAACTCTAAAAAAATACTAAATAAAATCCAGACGAAAAATATCTGATGCACAACTGCACATGCTGATCATAACAATTCCTGTAAAGTTTTCATGAACTCTAGGTCAAATACTTTTTGAGTCAACATCGAAACAAGTTGAAAATTGCAAAAATTTTACTAAGTCAAGGGCAATAACTCTGAAAATACAAAAAAATATCAGACGAAAATACCCAGGTGCACAACAACACATGCTGATCAACATTCCTGTAAAGTTTCAATGGACTCTAGGTCAAATACTTTTTGAGTTACATGCGACACAAGTTGAAAAATTTTGCAAAATTTTACTAAGTCCAAGGGCAATAACTCTACAAATACTGAAAATATCCAGACGAAAAATACCCAGGTGCACAACTACACATGCTGATCACATTTCTGTAAGTTTCATGACTCCAGGTCAAATACTTTTTGAGTAACATGCGACACAAGTTGAAAATTGCCATAAATTTTACTAAAGTCAAGGGCAATAACTCTGAAAATACTAAAAATATCCAGACGAAAATACCCAGGTGCAAACAACACATGCTGATCAACATTCCTGTAAAGTTTCATGACTCTAGGGTCAAATACTTTTTGAGTACATGCGACACAAGTTGAAAAATTGCAAATTTTACTAAGTCAAGGGCAATAACTCTGAAAATACTAAAAATATCCAGACGAAAAAGTACCCAGGTGCACAACTACACACATGCTGATCAACATTCCTGTAAAGTTTTTCATGACTCTAGTCAAATACCTTTTGAGTATACATGCGACACAAGTTTGAAATTGCAAAAATTTTTACTAAGTCACAGGCAATAACTCTGAAATAACTAAAATATCCAGACGAAAATACCCAGGTGCACAACTACACATGCTGATCAACATTCCTGTAAAGTTTCATGACTCTAGGTCAAATACTTTTTGAGTTACGTGCGACACAAAAGTGAACGGACGGACGGCTGGACGGAAGGACGGACGGACAGACAGATGGACGGACAAGGGTAAATCTAAATGCCCGCCACTAACGTGGGGGCACAAAAATGAAAATACATTCACAAGTCAGGAAAATACTTCCCGTATAAGGTTTCTTATCAATTGAATTATGCAAGTGTTATTCCGTTTGCTTGTTTATTTTTTTACGACAAATCGACATATAATGAGTTTGTTTATTGTTTATAAAATATTGTGATGACACATACGCAGCTTGTAGAAGTAACGGAGTAAAATCAATGTGAGATCAAGGCAAGTTCTAAAGACAATCATACACAATTATTTTTGTGGATTCTTTTTTGATATAAATTTCCTTCTGTAAGATGAACGGGTCCATCAAGAAGCCTTGGTTTTCGAACCCAAGAGAAATGGGGTTAAATGAGGTGAAAATTTAAGTAGGTAAACGGGTAATTACAATTGACCCGTTCTAATCTAAACAAAGGAGTTACAAGACAATTTGGAATTAAAAACAAAACCATTGTACTAATGCGCTGCTTATTATTTTAATAGCCGACTATCTAAAAACATAGATTAATGACAAAAATAAAATGGAAAATAACTATATATGATAGAGATCGTAAACGATTGAACAATAACAAATAAGAAATGTACATGTACTAAAATTTGACAACGTGCCATTTAACATCAGTTTTGACTTCCTGGGTCGTATGGGATACCGTTCTTTGAATGCCACCTTTCCTTGTTGATCTTGTTTACCACATTCCTATGAAATGTACAGAGAATAACTGAATATAAGAAGTATTTTTCATTGGGCCTTTTAACATTCAAACTGAAATCTGAAAATCACTTTGGTCATTCCTAAATACAATGTTAAGGATAGCTTTTGATTAATATGCAGTATATTCAAAGTAACAACACCGCCAATTACGTTCACCAACCATTAAGTCCAACTATATCTTTCCTTGACTTGTTAGAATGTAAATAGATACTATTACGCATTGCATTGTTGTAGAATAATGCAGTTTTTGCTCAGGCCTTCGTGATTATATTCCTACGCATTTGAACCGTGCATAATTCTACAGCAATACACTTAGAATTGATATCTATTTCCTAACTAAATAATATAACCGGTTAGCAAATTTATAAAGATGGCGTCTGCATACGGTAATACTATCTGTCAACACCTGTGTATTTAATTTACCGTTTCATCAGGGACACTGCAAAATAAACACAGATCGGTCATTTCTGACACAACTGTGTCTTTTTCATGGTGGGGTAGAAAAAAAATTACAAGTTTTAAATCTTCTTTATTTTTATATACAATGTTAAACTATAAATATAAACAAAACAAATTTAACAGTAACACATGTCCGATGAAACCGAATAATCATAAATATAACATATAACTAGTCTAGATTAAATAAAAATAATGTCTATTATAAACAAATCTCTGTATCTCCAACTGATATTAAGTGGTCAAATATCAATTCCACTTCACTACAAAAATATTGATAATTGCTACACAGTCTCATTGTAAATGTTAAACATATTAGACTTCACACAACGTTGATATGCTATGTTTAAAACATTACCAAGAAAATTACCAAAAAGTGTTCAGCATATGCAAAAATAGTTACTAACGCAGTAGAAATATCATGGTGATAAAATACTACAAAATCAGTCTTAAACTTACATAACATGTAAAATATAGCTTGGATCTTGAATGTTTTAAAATTTCTTAAAAGTTAAGTGCACTGTTCTCAATCTTTGTTTTCTTGAAATATTCTGGCTCATCTAGAGGCCTACAGCTTTAAGCATAGTTTTAAAAATGTAAAAAAAAAAATTACGAAATGTAAAAAAATAAGTGCCCAGTAATGACAGACGTGTGCTATTTTGCAGTTTTAATTGCCATATTTCTATTGTGTGACTAACACAGTAAGGGAAATTTTTGCACGCCTCCAGATGAGCCAAAATTTTTCAAGAAAATAAATATTGAGAAATCTGCACTAAACTGTAAAAACAGTCAAGATCCAAGTTATATTCTACATGTTAAATCTGAAGTAATGATGATCTAAAGTTTAAAAATATATTCTCTATAATATCAAAAACTGAAAAATTTGATTTTCTACATATCAGGCAAATGAAGTAGCAAAATATTCCAAGTTCCAAGAGAGGTTTCTCACTTAATAGTTTGTATTATGTTTAAAGAATTGAAACAAAGATTAACAAATTTCCACAAAATGTCACTTGGATCATAGTAGGTTGAATAATTAAACAACACTTACAACCGCCTCCGTGGTCGAGGGGTTAAGTCTATACTTCTAATCCAGTTACCTCTCTGGCGTGGGTTCGATCCCCGAGATGCTTTTGGTAGTTTAGCCGGAGGAAGGTAGTCTAGTACTGGTGTAACTCTCCAGGAACGATTGGTTAGGAAACTACCCGCCTATATACTGAAATACTGTCTGCTGAAAAAGCGTAAAAATGAAAACAAACAAACTTGGGACATGAACAAAATTAGAATTAGACAACTATTTTTACACACCCATGGGTGGAAAAGATTTTATTTTAAATATATAAAATAAGAACCAATTCAAAATTAATTTCTAAAGCAAATATATACAAATTCGATTTCCAAAAGGATAGGAATGTCAAAAAAATAGGATAAAAAACAGAAATCCCCTAAAAGAAAGCCCAACAACCGGCAAAATTGAAAATGTTTGCAGGCTCGGTTTTTGAAATTGAGCCTGTTTCATGGACGGTAAATGGAAATTGCAAGTTACCATCCACGCCCCCTAGCACCCGGCTTAAGCAGAATTCAACATTTAAACACTACAATAGTGAAATTTGAATTTAGAAACGATCCGCAGATGTGTTCATACGGCGGTTATCATGGAAACCTTCAATGTGACACAGTAGTGGTCATTCCATGAAAAGCGGCGTATAGGTATACAAGTTTCCTGTTTGATATTTGTGATTTGGCATCAGAAGATATGCCGAACTTTTACAAAGAACAGAACTTTGGAAATTGCACAGGTGATGTCTATTTACTTTTTTTCTGCTTCGTAGGACTCGTCCTCAGCCTACTTCTTACTTTTCTCGGTCGTTTCATCCTAAACGCCACTTCTGCGTCTATTTGTAACATATCCTCTCCTTTTTCTTCCTGTTCACATGTTACAGGCTCCCTTTCTGTTTCTTCCTCATTGTTAAGCATGTGTTCTCCAGAGTGTACTACAAAAATAACATGAATTGAAAACAATCTCTTGCTACAATTTTAAAGTCCAATAAATAAACTTAATATCAAGAGGCGGCATGGCTTGACTGATGAATTTGTTGAACTATTATCTAAAGAATGCTAGCAGCATGGGTTTTAAATTGTCACAGGTAACATATTGAGCAAAAAAAACGTTTACAATTAGTACTTGCTCAATACAGCAACATAATTATCAGTGGTTCAATATTGTTATAGCTTCCAAAGACAATTGAACTTAATAGATTTGAAAACACATGACAAGAGACCTAACAGGAACGTTGTGTCAAAATTAGCATGTTACAGCAAAAGATTGTTGGTTATGACCAGTAGGCAAATATATACTTTGTGCTTTGATTAATTAGTTTCTTTGTTAAAAAATACATTTTTTCATTTAACTTCACCCAATTCAGGAGAAAGTTTTTCAAGGTTACTTTTTCATGTTTAAATGTTGAATTCTGCTTAAGCCGGTGCTAGGGGGCGTGGACGGTAACTTGCACTTTCCAGTACCGTCCATGAACAGGCTCAATCAAACCGAGCCTGCACATTTTCAAATCTTGCCGTGTTTGGGCTTTCTTTAGGGATTCTGTATTTATCTATTTATTGGATAATAAAATCATTTAAACAACTCTTAACGAGCAATAAATCTTTGCCTGATGTCTTCTCACATCACACACGTTGATAACCACTGCTCTAAGTAGCTGATCCTTCATTCTTACAACTTGAGAGGGATCTCCACTGCCTTCTGCCTTTTAGCGGGTCAGCATTCCTTCACTTAACCCAACTGTGTCAAGTAAAAACGGCCTTACAATTTTATCTACTCCTCCTTCATCTCTGTTTGACTTACAACCTGGAATAGAAAATAGCAAGTTGAAATATAAACTTTAATAAACAAAAACTGTGCAAAATGTTTTTTCTTGCTAAATAAGTATATCATTACAAAGCTTCAGCAAGACATTTCGTTGCTACAGTCTATTTAGTTCATATAAGAAATATGCATGATTGTCATCAAACCATTAGGCTAAACAGGTTCACAAATTATTATTTTGAAAGGGGGCGGGGGTCTATGTAACTTGTTTAACTCAGAAATAAGGTAGAGTGGGTTATCATAGCAATTTGATGTGCTGTTTTTTGTTTTAACCAATCATACTAAAAATCATTTTCTACAGAATTAAATTGCTCTGTCTTGATTATATTATAATACAAGAAAGGTTCTAACGTAAGATAATCTGGCTTTAATCTATTAGGAAAATATTAAGAACAGGCCTTGGCACCTTTCAAAATATTTTTTGGAAAAGCCTTGTTAAGTACCTTTCTAGCAGCTGTTAGAGGCACTGTTTTAGACTTTCCAGAACTCTCAGATCACAAGGCACCTTGTCCATGAGTTTCTCGGTGCAGTTGTGTACCTCCTCAGGACTTATATGATGAATTGCTTTCAGCAGGATTGGCAGTGCTGAAGAAGCTGAACCAGCTAAGTTTTCTAGAATACTGGCTACACTTTGTTGTTTCGGGCCTTCGATTCTCTCCATTTTAAATATGCAGAGCCTGCTGCTGTACCTAGTGATATGAAAACAATTTTTGTGTTAATACTTTAAAAATATTTGCTGTACATGAAAATGCTGTTGATATGTAACTCTGCATGCAAGTAAAACCAGATTTTAATAGATCCATATCAATTTTTAGAGTGATATTATTTCCCTTTCACGTGCAGAACTATTTTTTACAATTTGTAAAGAAAATATTTAAAAAAATTTCCTTTGGTTGCCATGGCAACCAGAGTTCTGCATGGAAACAATTTTCAAAGGTGACCACCAAATGAATATTCCATTGAAGTTTGGATGAAATTTGCTTAGTAGTTTATGTAAAGTAAAAGTGTACGGACGGACGCCGGACGAAAAGCGATCACAAAAGCTCACCCTGTGACAGGTGAGCTAAAAAGGCTTGTGGTAGAAGACATTGCCTCTAGTTTTTTATTTCTTTGATATTAACCCCCCCCCCTTCCCCCGGTCTCCTGTCCCCTTCCCTTTTTGGGCCTATTATTATTTTCTTTTGAATTCCTAATCAGTTACAAATTATTTATCATTTATTGATTAACGTGTCGTTGCCCTGTCCTTTTTATGTTTGGGGTCCGCCTGGGCTCCTTGCCATTGGTTCTTGTTGCTGGGTCATATGGGGGTTGCGTTCATTGAACGCCGCCTTTCCTTGTTGATCTTGTTTTTCATATTTGTAACCGTATAATAAATCCTAAATTGTTTCATACCATGGCAACGCGGGGACATCTCACAATTGGTAAAAATCACTTTTTTGCGTTGATTTTTCCATCAAAATTGATTCTAAAGTACCGCAAATTCTCAATGGATTGAAATAGAGTCAAATTCTTTTTAACGTTGGTTACACGTTAACTTAAGGTCGACCTGGGGTTATCTTTTAGCCTCTCACAAGTCCAATTTTTTTTTTGAAATTCATCTTACTTTATAACTAATATTCTGTCATACGCAGTTGAATTTGGACTGTCATTCCGTCATGATTAATGAAATACATTGCTTTACAAAGAAACATGTAAGCCATAAAAAAACTTGTTGCATATACTGTAACAATCAAAATGTCACAGTCAATCGGTTTTACGGCGAATCAACACAGTATAAGGTCATAGTTTGTATGTTTGTGTCATTTTACGCCTTTTTCCAACAGTATTTCAGTCATATAGGCGGGTAGTTTCCTAACCATCGTTCCTGGAGAGTTACACCAGTACTTGAAAACCTTCCTCTGCGCTAAACTACCAAAGCATCTCCCCGGGGATACGAACCACGCCAGATTAGGTAACTGGGGTTTTTAGGAAGTCTTCTTCACTCTAAAACCACTCGACACGAAGGCGGTGCACATAAAGGTCATAGAAGCGCCGAATGCAGCATTGTTTTCTTCTAATATTCGTTATGATTTAAGAGGACACATTTTCCTGCTACAAACGTTATCTGGTAATTCATAAATTGAAATAAGCTATTAGGGGGCGTCTGTGGCCGAGCGGTTAAGGTCGTTGACTTCAAAAAATAGATGAATACAGAATCCCTATAGAAAGCCCAACACGGCAAAAATTGAAAATGTTGCAGGCTCGGTTTTGATTGAGCCTGTTCATGGACGGTACTGGAAAGTGCAAGTTACCGTCCACGCCCCCTAGCACCGGCTTAAGCAGAATTCAACATTTAAACGTGATATAGTAAAATTTTGAATTTTAGAAACATCCGCAGATGTGTTCATACGGCGGTTATCATGGAACCTTCAATGTGACACTTCCGTGCCATTCCATGAAAAGCGGCGTATGGTCCCCAAGTAATAAAAAGCGTGTGCCCTAAACGAGAAAACAATGGGCGGAACTAAATAAAATGGAATTTTGAAAGGGGATCGGAGGTTATGAAGCCAGAGTTCTCAACAAGTTCTTTTTCTAACATGACAATCTTTTCACAAGTTCGCTTTAGATTTTTTTCAAGCCACTTGTTTCATTTACTGTTATAATCAAAATGTCTCACAGCCAATCGGTTTTACGGCGCATCAACACAGTAATAGGTCATGTAGCGCCGAATGAAGCAGCAGTTTTTTTTTAATATTCGCCATGTGTCAAGTGCCGTTGGGCAGCTGTAAAAAGTGTGCCCCGTTCTTCATTTCAGTGTTATATTTTCTGGTCCTTCGGGATCATTGATGCCAGCACTATTAAGTGTTGAGAAGCTTTTGCTCAACAATGCTCAAGCCGGTGCTAGCGGGCGTGAGGGATGTTGAACTTATTCATTATCCCTCATGTACAGACTCAATCAAACCGAGTATGCAATTCTCTTGTATTTTTGTTGTGATTAATGCTTCCGAGGGAACACTTTGTTTCCAGAATTTTATGCTTCACAACAGCAGGTGTCAAGTGCCGTGTGGCAGCTGTAAAAAGTTGCCCGGTACTTCACTTCAGTGTTGTTATATTTTCTTGTCCTTCGGGATCTTTGATGCCAGCACTATTAAGTGTTGAGAATTGAGTACCGCTCAAGCCGGTGCTAGGGGGCGTGATGGATGTTGCACTTATTTATTATCCCTCATGTACAGACTCAATCAAACCGAGTCAGCAATTCTCTTGTAATTTTGTTGTGATTAATGCTTTCGAGGGATCGCTTTGTTTCCAGAATTTTTTATATTTTTTGTATATGATTGTATTCAAAGCTATTATAAATTGTCGACAGTGTAAAATAGATAAATACAGAATCCCTAAAGAAAGCCCAACACGGCAAAATTGAAAATGTTGCAGGCTCGGTTTGATTGAGCCTGTTCATGGACGGTACTGGAAAGTGCAAGTTCCCTATTCTATTTTATGGCTTACATATTTTTGTTATACCATTAACAATGTTTATAAAAGTTATCATCACATTGCATGTATATATAGGAAAGTTTAGATTTTTTTCAAAGATTTAAATCTGTAAGCGTATGACTGCGGGCAATGGTTTTCTATTGTTAAGACTATAACAACGATCATTTACTATCTATCCATAATTGATGTACTTTTTTGACACTTTCAAGCAACTAATATCACTTCAATTGAATTTATAATAGGACATTTTTCTCCAGTATTTCATTGTCAAACTAGGTATTTCAAAAGATTGACCAACATTTGATATTGGAAAATGAAGAGGGTAAAATATACTTATTTTATAAATTGAAAGTTACATGTATATTTCGATGGATATTTATACAAATCTGGAAAGAAAGTGATCTCTCGGAAGCATTAATCACAAGAAAATTACATGAAAATCGCCGACTCAGTACATGAGGGATAATAAATAAGTGCAACGTCCCTCACGCACGGCTTGATTTTCCTTTGGCAATGTAAGATCTTTATTGTACATGCTACAGTAAGTGAATGATTAAATTGAAGGGAATACACTTATTATGCACCCGATAGTATTAATTTGCCTTTGTCTATTTGCCGGTCGGTCTGTCGACCAAATGGTTTCTGATCAATAACTCAAGAATGCTTAAGCCTAGGAAATTCAAACTTGGTATGATGATTGTACATGACAAGTAGATGACCCCTATTGATTTTGGGCTCAAGGAGTCAAAGGTCAAAGTCACATTGACCTTTTATATGAAAACATTTTCCGATCAATAACTAAAAAACCTTTAGTCATAGAAACTTTTAACTTGGTATGATGATTGTGCATGACCAGTAAATGATCCATATCGATTTTGAGGTCAAAGGTCAAGGTCATATTGACCTTGTATGTGAAAACGGTTTCCGATCAATAACTAAAGAATGCATAGACCAGGGAACTTCAAACTTGGTATGAGTGTACATGACCAGTAGATGACCCTATTGATTTTGATGTCAAGGGGTCAAAGGTCAAGGTCACATTGAATTGACCTTTTGGGTAAAAACCGTTTCCGATCAATAACTAAAGAGCACTTAGGCATAGAAACTTCGAATTTGATACGATGATTGTACCTGACCAGTAGATGACCCCTAGTTTGTATTATGTTTAAAGAATAGAAACAAGGATTAACGAATTTGCACAAAATGTCACTTGGATCATAGTAGGTTACATAATTAAACAACAATTACATCTTATGTGACATGAACAAATTAGCATTAGACAACTATTTACACATCATGGGTGAAAAGATTATATTTTTAAGTATATGAATAAAAACAGTTCAAAATTATTTCTAGCAATATATACAAATCAATTTCCAAGATTAAAATGTCATGTCCTGTTTGATATTTGTGATTTTGCATCAGAAGATATGCCCAACGTTTACAAGAACAGAACTTAGAAGTTGACCAGGTGATGTATATTTACTTCCTTCTGCTTCGTAGGACTCGGGGAATCCTCAGCCTACTTCTTACTTTTCTCGGTCGTTTCATCCTACACGCCACTTCTTCGTCTATTTGTAACATATCCTCTCCTCCTTCTTCCTGTTCACATGTTACAGGCTCCCTTTCTGTTTCTTCCTCATTGTTGAGCATGTGTACTCCAGAGTGTACTGCAAAAAAATAACATGAATTGAAAACAATTTCTTGCTACAATTTTAAAGTCCAATAAATAAACTTTATATCGAGAGACGGCATTTCTAAAGGTTCTAACATAAAATAATCTTGCATTAATCTATTAGAAAAATATTAAGACTTTAAGTCAAATAAGTTATAATTCGTGGAATCCAGTAGGTTTTCAACAGTGTCTAGATGAAGTCATGAATATAAGTTACTTTTTCACATCAGTTTTGGGATGTAGAATCATTACATTTTCCCTTACTTAACTTTTAAAATTGTAACTATCAACATATTTCTATTATTGCTACGTACTCTGAATGATCCATCACTTTTTCCATGATAATAGTGGCTAAGGTCTAATTGCCAGCCATTGACGCACTTATATATGGAAATAGTGTGTCCTCTAAATAAGCCTCAATGGCTTTCAAATAATGGCGTCTTCCTGATATCTCCAATACCTATAATAAATTGTAAATGATTGTACAGGATGGTCTTTGGAAACTTAATTGTAGTCTTTTGAACTTCATATGTTTTTTTCATATCGCTTGTACAGATATCCCTTTTTATTTTAAATTTCAGCTATATGATGAATGTTTCGGCTTATATAAATTAAGAGTTTTGTGATTCTATGAACTAAACAATAATAGAGTTTCTTTAAATTTCAATTTATGTATGAATATTGTCTATACTACTTGGGTAAATAATACAAGTTATGAACTATGTTTCATGGTCTGATAATGTGTTTTTACAATCTTAACTTATTTTTCAAGTCTGAAAAAAAATCGTGACAAATGGTGCTTGTCTTTTCAAAGCAAACAGGCTTTGGCACCTTTCAAAATATTTTTTGGAAAAGCCTTATTAAGTACCTAGCAGCTATTTTCCACAACTCTCAGATCAC